TTGAACTGTCAACCTTGGGTTTCAAACCGATTTTGTAGTCCAGTGCAGCAGGCAGGTGTGCAGAATATATGTGCCCTTTGGTGTGGTTTAAATTATTATATATGCCTGAGTGTATTAAAATAAATAAATAAAGAGCTAAAATGAATAGAGAGAAATACTGTTAACTGATAGTACATAGAAGGAATTATAATCATTGCAATGAAACAAGGTGTACGACTTGTTGAATGTAAAATTGATAATCTGCCCTGTAAACTCTCACTCAATTCACAATAAAAACTTTAAAATAAATAAATAAGAGAGTCGTGACACAAATTGATAAATGCACACCCATGTTCACTGTAGCATTATTCACAATAGCAAAAAAGCTGGAGATAGACCAAATGCCCATCAAAAGAAGAATGTTTAAACAAACTTCGGTACATATACACAATGGGAAACCAGCCAACATTGAAGAACAACCATGAATCTGCAAAACACCACATAACATGGATATACCTGGTGGGCATTATGCTGAGTGAAATTAATCAATCACAAAAGGACAAACATTGTATGAGAGCACAGTTTTGCAAAGTTAAGGAAAAGTTTTCTTAATAAAAGAAACATTCTATGATGGTTATCGTGTGGGGTGAGGAGGGAAAATTATTCATTGGTAGAGAGTAGACACATGTTAACATGGTGATGGGACAGGCAATATCCAACAAAAGGGAGGTTGGCAGAGAAAAGAGGAAGGTAGTGGGCGGCACATGGAGGAATGCAAGAGTTAAATACTATTAACTGACGGTTCATGGAGGGGACTGTAATGATTGTAATGAAGCAAAGTATATGATTTGTTGAATGAGATCTGATGATCTGCTCTGTAAACCTTCACTCAATTCACAATAAAAAATTAAATATATATATACATATACACACACACATAAATATATACCATGGTCCTATTCTGGAATATGTACAGAACCTATTCTGGAATATGTGCAAGAACAAAGAAATGATCAGTAATTATTAGCAGACTTTACCCTGATGACCTTAATTAGGGAAACCAGAAACGTGTCCTCAGAGTCCAGCCTCCCAGAACTCATAGCCTATTTTGGGAGGCAGCTCCTGAAATTACATCCGAGGCTGGAATACCCAGAGAACAACTGCAAGGAAAGGGTGGCCATCCCAGGCCACATAGTGCAAGTTGGCTTCTCTCAGGCAGCCCACAGTCCATCTGAGATGTGAATGAGTTCGGCTCAGTGGTTCCCAGTTGCATAGTCAAAACACCTGGAGACGTTTTAGAAACACTTATGCCTGGGCCCCACCCTAGTTCCTGGGTAGCACAAACTGCTAAATTCTCAACTCCTAGCTGAAAGGCTGTTGGTTCATAATCCACCCCAAGGTGCCTTGGGAAACACACTTGGCAATCTGCTTATCAAGCGTTATGTCCTTGAAAACCATTAAACTAACAGTTCTACTCTGCACACGTGGAGGTGCCATGAATCAGAATTAACCCAACAGCAACAAAAACTCAAAGGTCTAGTTAGCTTCAAGAAAGTGAGGCAGGAAGGGCTAACAGTCCTTTTAAAGCTCCCCAGGTGGTCCTGGTGTTGCACTGTATGATAAGCACTGAACCGAAAGATGGGTTTGAACCACAAGGTCGGTGGTTCAGACTCGCCAGTCACTCCTCGGAAACTCTATACACAGGGTCGCTATGAGTTGGAACTAACTATGAGAAGAAACTGACTTGAAGGCACTTAACAACAAGAAGGTGATTCTGATATGCAGCCAGGATTGAGAAACCCCAGCCTTGACCATCCTCCCTAAGCAGCCTCCCTCATACCAAACTAATGGCCTCCCTCTCTAAGTAGCTCCTTGTATCAAACTCCGTCTTGAATTCCCTTCAGCAAGTGAGCACATTAATTTCAACTTTTATCACACTTCAAACAAATTTTTCTAAGGTCTAAGCAGTTTTTCTAATTGCTTATAACAATGACCTTCGTTAAAATGCCGACTCCTAAGTTGCTTTCCAGATCTACTGGGTGGGAATCTCTGCAAATGGGAACCCTAGAATCTGTGTTTTAAACACACCCTCTGGGTGACTGTCAGGCAGAGTGAAGTGTGAGGACCACTGCCCTGGACTGCATGAGGCTTCCAGGTGGTTAGAGGCTGCACCTGTTTGTGCTCAGCACTTGGACTAGCAAAGTGATTAGGGCAGGTTGCTGCTCTCAGGAGTTCCTGGGTACTGAAGGAAGGAGTCTCAAGTGTACATGCTGAACAGGAAGTGCTCTTACCAACCTAACAAGGTACTGCTACATCCAGAGAAGAGAGACTAAGGACAATCAAGGGAATCCTGGGTAACTTCATGAAGAACGTGCATCAAAGTTGGGCTTTTAAAGACAAGAGTTTGAATCCTTGGAGATGCAACACTCTACCCCTGGTTTCACGCAAATAAATAAAAAAGCATTGTGAAAAAAGGAGACCGCAGAGGTTTGAGGAGGACAGGCCACACATTGCTAGAAGTACCTGGACCAGGGCAGTGGTCAAAAGGGATCTCAAAAGATTCGGTCATCTATCTGACCCAGAACTGTCCAATCCAAACTCGGGCAGTTCCCAAAACAACTGGCCTAGACATGCCATTTAACTTTCCTGGGGTCCCAAGTCCATATCTGCAGAATGGGGATAGCTATCGCTACCTAGCACAAGACTGTTACAGAAGCCAGTAAAGAGCCGTGAAGTCACCAGAGTTGCAGAGTCTGCACCTAGGCTGATGGGAGCCTGGGGTTCAGTGTCCTTAGGGCACTTCTTTTCCAGCCAGAAGAAGCTCCACAACTTCTCCACAGAAAAGACAGGTATCAGCTGATGGAGAGCGGAGAGCTAGGGATATTTGCATTTGCCTAGTGAGCCCCCAGGCATGTCACCAGTTAATGAAAAGAGCAATGTTTTCTAATTGTTCTGATTCACACTTTTCAGAAGAGGAGCAAAACACAGCCATAAAAAGGAATGAAGGCCTGCCACATGGATTAACCTGAAAACCCTTATGTTAAGGGAACTAAGAGTCACAAAAGGACAAATAGTGCATGATTCCATTTATATTAAATATGTAGGCAAGGCAAATCCATGCAGACAGAAAGTAGATAAGAAGTTACCAGGAACTGGGAATGACAAGGAGAGCGGAATGACAACTTTCAGGTACACATTTTCTGTTTGCTGTGATGGAAAAGTTTAGAAACATATAGTAGTGACAGTTGTACAAGATTATAAATGTAACTGTTGCTTTGTTAAATGCCATCAAGTCAGTTCCAACCCATAGCAAACCTGTATAGGGTTTCCAAGGAGTGACTGGTAGCTTGAACGGCCAACTCTGTGGTTCAAATCAACTTTGCAGTCCAGTTTATGAACCCACAGCACCACACCAGATCTCCTAAATGTAATTAATGCCCCCCAGAATTATATCGTAAAATGGCAAATTTTATGTCACAGATACTGCTTTCTACCACAATAAAGAGAAATAAAATGCAAAATGGTCCCAGAACAAAGAACAAAATTTACACACAGGTCTCACTTTGCTAAACTGTGTCTTTCACCTAGCATTATTTGGAGGGTGCTCTGGGAGACCATGGGTCATTGCTTAAGATCTCTCCCTTAAGACACCCTCACAAAATTCCAGACACTTTCCTCCCCACATTTGGCCATCTTTTGTGATATACGTAGCTCCTAATTCCACAGAATCCCAGGGAACCTACCCCTCCTGGCTAAAAGAAAAGCAGTCTCCCCTCTCCTAATTTATCTCTGCATACAGAACTTGGGCCCTGACTCACAGCTATTGTTCCTTCTCATCATTTTTGACAGGTCCTTCCTCTTCCCTTTCCCTCTCCTGAGACACTTCCTTCAGTGGGAATCTCTGACGTGAAGTGGGGGTTACGGGTGCCTGGTGAAGAAGGGGGTGTGGAATAGGGGAGGACTGTAAATCCTTTGCTGCTTCAAACAGAGATTTTAGCTGCCACTGAGTGGGCTTGACTCACAGTGACCCCCATGGCAAAGGTAAGAAATGAGGTTGCTGATTAGATGGGTAAAACTATTGTGGTCTATACAATTTTCATTGGTTGTTGTTTAGAAGTAGATTACCAGGTCTTTCTTCTGGAATATTTTAATCTGGAAGCTTCACTGAAACCTGTTGAGTATCACAACACTCAGTCCTTCACTGACAGACTGAAGCACCTGAATGAACCCAGGTAGGATCTGCTAGTCTAAATATAAGGAGCTCCTATAGTGTAGTGATTACAAATCAGGCTGCTAATCTCAGGGCCAGCAGATCGAAACTACCAGCGAATCAGGCTGCTAATCTCAGGGCCAGCAGATCGAAACTACCAGCGGTTCAGCGGTATAGAAAGATGAGGCTTTCTGCTCCCATAAAGACTTACAGCCTCGGGAACACTGTACAGGGGCGCTTAGAGGCGGAATCGACTCCAAGGCACATAACCACCACCCACCTCTAAAAATAATTTGTAGGCATTTAAGCTTTTTGGATTTGGAAAAATATTCTTGAAGCTCCCTCAAAAATCCTTACGTCAAGGCCAGAGAAGTGTACCTTTTCTTGGTGATGGAGAGAAGGTCAACATGACTTACCTTCCATAAAGGATGGAGGATGAAGGAGTGAAATAAAGATACAACTTTCATAGGACATTGTCCATACGCCCAGTTTGTAAGGGCCCTGGTTCCTATCCCACTTCTACACCTGTCTTTCTACCCACTCGCATTCCCACTATCAAGCACTTGATTTCTTCTGGGTAAATGGCCTTAGGAAAGTGTTTAACCTTTAACATATTGGGCACTTTCAGTGTTCCAAAATTTCAAAGCGCCAAGGCATTTGTGGTGCTCTGTTTCCTCTTCATTGTCCCCTCAGCAGAAGGTAGGACTGCTGGAGAACCTGTGGTCTGAACACAGTGGGACGCAGACCCACCAACGCACGCGGTGGGTGGGATGGTTCGGCCGCACCAGCGCAGCCGCCACGGGATTCTCACCTCGGAAAGTCAGACTGGCCACAGGGTCGCTGCGCCTATCCTTCTTCACATTGGGGAGGTTGCTGGCCTTCACCAGCAGACAGCACAGCATGGCTCAGCAGCCCTGGGCACTCAGAGGCACGCGAGCAGGGCGGGAGTAGCAGCACCAAGCAGTAGGCACTCGCTGACCAAGCGGGTGCAGCCGCGCCAAAGTGGGGCCGTAGCCTTCGTTGCGTCTCGGCTGAGAAGTCGCCAGACACCTCCTGGAGGAGACCCGACTCTAGCTCTGCCTACCCCCCATCTAGCGGCCCCAGCTTGGATCCGCCCTACAGGGAAAGAGCGGGGCGGGGCTGGATCAGAAGGGCAACTGTGGGGGTGCCGGTCCCCGCCCACGCCCACGCCCCCTCTCCTGGTCCGGAGTGAAGGCGCGGCTGTCCGCACAGCTCCGCCCCCAGACAAGCGCGCGGAGCAATCTTCGCCCGCAGTCGTGGGTCTGCAGCGCTCTTTATGGCTTCGTCCTGCCGGGGCCGACACCCTGTGAGCGCTCAGAGGATGCGTGCGATGGAAAAGTTAGTGATGGGGAGAGTAGGGGAAGATCAGAAGTCAGAACCAGCGTGTATCTGCGGGAAGCTGCCGGTTGGAGAGAGCGTCGAAAGGAGTGTTCCGAGACCGGGTCCCGCGCCGCTCGCCTCTGCTCACCCATCCCACCACTAGCTTCGGAACCGGTCCTCTCTCCCCTCCTGCTCTCTGCCTGGAGGCGGTGCTGGGATCCCAGCACCGGGAGAGATCCCGAGGATCGAGCCCGCGCGAATCTGCCTTTCTTCAGAGCAGCCTAGGGTCGCTTGGTTCGGAAGCTGAGGTTTGTATCCAGATCATACTGCGGTTCCTGAAGCAGAACGCCCGTCTCCCAACAATCTCTAGGCCCCCTTGCCCTACGGAAACTAGTTTAAAGCGTGGCAGCCCTTAGCAAGCTTTCGTGTGTTAAATCTGCCTTCTTTTGGCTTAAGAACTTTATTTAAAATATTATCATAGGGGCCCTGGCTTTCTCCCCGATATATGTACCCCACTTAACAACAATATATCCCTCTCAACACTCCAGCACTTAGCTCTGGGCCTTTCCCTCCTTCCTCCCAAATTCTCACTAACCTCCATATACCATTAGAAACGACCCATGGCGACCCCATGTGTCACAGAGCAGAATTGCTCCATAGGGTTTTCTTGACGATAATCCAGTCGGGCTGCTAACCTCAAGGTCAGCAGTTCGAAACTCTACCAGCTGTTCCTCGGAAGAAAGATGAAGCGTTCTTCTCCCGTAAAGATTTACAGCCTCGGAAACCCTGTACAGGGTCGCTACGAGTCGGAACCGTCTCCAAAGCACGTAACTACCAACAACAACATTCTACTGAGGAGTCCTGATGTGGCGCTGTAGGATAAGCACTCGACCATAAGGTCAGTTTGAACCGCAAGGTGAGCAGTTCAAACTCAACAGCTATTCCTCGGAAACCCTATATAGGGTAGCTATAAATCGGAAGGAGCTCTGATAGTTTAGTGGTTACAGGTCAGACTGTTAACTTCACAGTCTGCAGTTTGAAACTACCAGAGGATCCGCGGGAGAAAGATGAGGCTTTCTGCTCCCGTAAAGATTTACACATAGCCTCATAAACCCTATACAGGGTCACTATGAGTCGGAATCAACTCCAGGGCACACAACCACCACCACCAAGTCGGAACTGGCTTGAAGGCACTTAACAACAACAATCTTAACTGAAGCAGGTTGTCAGACCTTTGTGTTTTGTTTGAAGCTCTGCTGAAACCATGGGCAGCCGGACTGGCATTTGAAACCAGTGGCATAGCTTCCAGCATCACAGCAACACACATGCCACTTATAGTATGGCAATCTCAGACAGGTGGTAGGGCTAGATCACAAGATACCAGTTGCCATCGACTTGATTCAGACTCGTGGTGGACCATGTTGTTGTTGTCGTTAGGTGCCATCCAGTTGGTACCAATTCATAGCGACCCTATGCACAGCAGAACGAAACACTGCATGGTCCTGGGTCACCCTTACAATTGTTGCCACTTTTGAGCCCACTGATGCTGCCACTTGGCCAATCCATCTCACTGAGGTGTCTTCCTCTTTTTTTCTGATGCTCCACCTTACCAAACATGATATCCTTCTCCAGCGACTGCTCCCTCCTGACAATACGTCTGAAGTGTGAGAGACGCAGTTTGGCCATCCTGGCCTCCAAGGAACACTCTGGCTGCACTTCTTCCAACACAGATCTTTTGGTTCTTTTGGCAGCCCATGGCATTTCCAGTATTCTCTTCCAACACCATAATTCAAAAGCATCAATTCTTCTATGGTCTTCCTTATTCACTGTCCAGCTTTCGCATGCATATGAGGTTATTGAAAATACCATGGCTTGGGTCAGGAGCACCTTAGTCCTCAAGCTAACATCTTTGCTCTTTTACACTTTAAAAAAGTCTTGTGCAGTAGATTTGCCTAATGCAATACGTCATTTGATTTCTTGACTGCTGCTTCCATGAGTGTTGATTGTTGAACCAAGAAGAATGAAGTCCTTGACAACTTCAATCTTTTCTCCTTTGATAAGAATGTTGTTTATTGCTCCAGTGGTGAGGATTTTTGTTTTCTTTACATTCAGTGTAATCCATACCAAAGGCTGTGGTCTTAGATCTTCATCAGTAAATGTTTTAAGTCCTCTTCACTTTCAGCAAGCAAGGTTGTATCATCTGCATATTGCAGGTTGTTAATGCATCTTCCTACAATCCTGACGCCACGTTTTTCTTCATATAGCCCAGCTTCTCCGATTATTTGCTCAGCATAGAAGTTGAATAAGTATGGTAAAAGCATACAACCCTGTTGCACACCTTTCTTAATTTTAAAGACCATGTTGTTGTCAAGTGCCGTCGAGTTAGTTCCAACCCATAGCAACCCTGTATAGGGTTTCCAAGGAGCGGCTGGTGAGCTTGAACCTCTGGCCCTGCAGTTCAAATGGCTTAGCAGTCTGGTGCATTAACCCACAGTACCACACCAGGACTCCATAGCCTTGGTAAAATCCAAATCTCCATCAACCCCACATACGCGCCCTCACTGATAAGCATATGGAGACTACTAACACAGCTAAGCTGACTGTTGTCACTATGACTTTATGACACCGCCCCCCACCCCCCCACAACTCAAATAGACTCTTGATGCTGCTGGACCATCACACATAGCTGAGTAGCCCCTTCAGTCTCCCGCTCTCCTAGATGATTATTTCATCTTGTCTGTCCTCAGACTTCTACAATCATCACCTATCCCTCACTCTTAGTTTGTTTCCTATTCACTGAGAATGTGACTCCCAAAACCACTTCTAACCTCTTATTAATATCTATGCCCAAATTACTTGCCTTCTTTGCTGTTATTATGAACAACTAACACCAACACAGCACCTGGGTACCAAATCCTCTCTATTGTCACCTAGTCAATGACAAAACCAAACAAAAAACTGACTGCCATGAGGTTGATTCTGACACACAACGGCATTATAGGAGCAGAAAGCCTTGTCTTTCTCCTGACGAGAAGCTGGTGGGTCTGAACTGCCAACTTTGTGGTTAGCAATTCAGTGCTTATCCCACAGAGCCACCAGGGCTGTACTCAATGACAAGAATCCAGTAATTCTCCCTCTCTCTCCTGAATTTTCATGCTTTCCCTGTCAACTCTTTCATTCCATTTGCATACAAACATGATGCTATTTTTCTTAAATGTTTTTGACCTGACTCGCCCTTCAACTACTAAGTCATTTCTGTCTTTTTACAATATCCTTTGAAACAGTTGTCCATATTTCCTGTCTCTTATCTCTCTTCTCCATCATCTTAAACCCACCCTAGTTATGCTTACAACTCCAGCCCTCCAGTGAAACTGCAAATCCCGTCAGCTCTCCTTCAAAATATATCAAACATCTCACCCTTTCTCACCATCACCATTGTAGCTACCCTAGTCCAAGCCACCCTCTTCACTTGTCCTAACCATTGCAGGAAGCTCCGTATAGATCCCTTGCTTCTGCCCTTGCCAACAACAGTCTATTCTCAACCCTGTAAGTGTGATTCTGATAAAAAACATGTCAGATCCTCTCACCCCTTGACTCTAAGATTCCCTGCTCACTCAGTGTAAAACCCAAAGTCCTTACTTGGAAAGTTATAGACCCCTCCCCACCTTGACCTCTCAGATTTCTCATGTTACTCCCCAGGACCCGATCTTCTTCAAACAAATTAGCCTTCTAGCAATGTCAGGCCAACACCTACCTCAAGATCTTTGCCTAGAGCTAGATTCCCCCTACCACCACTCCTCAAACCCATATCCACAAGCCTCACCCCCTCACTTCCTTTTGATAGTTACTCAACTGTGGTCTCCTATGGCCCCCCAACTTAACAATGCAAATCCTCTCCCCTCACTTTCCCATTGACTTTTATGCTTTATTTTTCTTTAGCATTGATCATTTGGAATGAGTGCATTTTATTTGTTTCCCATCTTCCCCATTAGACAGCCTAATCCAAGGATGTTTGTTGTTAGATGCCATTGAGTTGGCTCCTCCGTATAGTGATCCTGTGCAAAACAGAACATTGTCCATTTCTGCGCCATCCTCACAACCTTTGCCATGTTTGAACCACTGTTGCAGCCACCATGTCATCTATCTAACTGGGGGTCTTTCTCTTTTACACTGACCCTCTACTTTACTAAACATGATGTCCTTTTCTAGGGACTTGTCCCTCCTGCTAATAAGTCTAAAATACATAATATGAAATCTCACCATCTTCACTTATAAGGGGTTGTCTGGCTGTCCTTCTTCCAGCATATTTATTTGTTCTCTAGCAGTCCATGGTACTTTTAATATTCTTCCAAAACACTACAATTCAAATGCATAAAGTCTTTTCCAGTTTTCCTTATTCACTATCCAGCTTTCACATGCATATAAGGCGATTGGAAATACCTTGGCTTGGGTCAGGCATACCTTAGTCTTCAAAGTGACATCTTTGCTCTTTAACACTTTAAAGAGGTCTTGTGCAGCAGATCTGCCCATCCATTAATTAATTTATTAATTAATCCAAGTACCATGAAATCCTTGACAACTTCAGTCTTCTTCCATTTATCACGATGTTGTTTATTGGTACCATTGTGAGGAATTTTGTTTTCTTTATGTTGAGGTGTAACCCAAACTGATGAAGCAAGGTTGTTCATGAGCCTTC